GAGGGGGGGCCGTGTCGACCAGCTCGTCCAACTTCCTCTTAGTTGAATTTATGGTCAAATTATTTAACCCTCCACCATTGATGACCATGGTGGAGGGGAAATGTTCCCACCTGCTGTGCGTAGACAGAGGTTCTTGCAAATGTTCGGGGACATGGAAGTCCTTGGGTCTTGTGATGGAGAACGCGGTTTGGATGGGAACTGACTCGTCAGATGGTCGGGCATCCTCTTATGCTTCCCCCGTCTCACAGGCATCCCGACAAGGAGCTTCGTTTCGCCGGTATTGTGCAAGTTTTCCCCCTTTTATGAGGGTCTCGATGGCGTCCTTGAGGTGGACGCAGTCTTCGGTCAGGTGTTCGTGGCTCTAGTGGTACTGGAAGTATTTGCTTTGGTCCACCCCGGGTTTGGCAGGATCTGGACGGGGACGTTTGACACCGTCGTCCTTGAAATCTGTACTTGCGCACTCTGCTAAGATGCGCTCGCAGGAAGCCGTAAGCGGAGTGTATTCTGTGAACCTCCCCGAGGGCCCCCTTTGTTCCCGGGCGTCTCGGGGTTTATCGTCCCTTCTCTTTTCTCCAGTTCGTCGAGGAGGGCGGTGTCTTGCCGCAGATTATTGCTGGATCCGTGGTTTCTGGGGTCTCGGGCTCTGTTGGCCGCTTCTCTCTCCTCGTAGTCCATGTAGGCCCTGGCCTTTTCGAGGAGGGCATCAAACATCCGGGGTGGTTCGATGCCCACGACTTTTATGAATTCGGTGTCAGGGAGGAGCCCCCTCTCCAGCAGGTATCTCTTTATATGGTCCATGCAAGGGACCTGGATGGCTTCCCAGTTGAAGCGGTTAATGAATTCTTTCAAGGTCTCATCATGCTTTTGGATGATGGCCTCAAGCGCTGCTTCGGTCTTCGGGTGTCGTCATGAAGCAGTGAACGAGCTGATGAATTGGTTCTTCAGGTTTCGCCAAGAGGTAATTGACCCCGGGGTGAGACCTTTGTACCAGTCCATAGCCGCTTTCCTCAGAGTCGTGGGGAACAACCAGCATTTATTGGTCCCCCGACGTTGTGGTAGTGCAGCATGGCTTCGAACCCGTCTATATGGTCGACCGGGTCGGCGATGTCGTCGTACTCCTTTAAGTGGGGAGGCTTCTCCATGCCCGGGGGAATGGGAGCCTCCATGATAGCTTGTGATAAGGGACCGCGGGGGTCATCCTCGTCACTCTGTTTCGGGGAGCGGGACGGGGATCCGATGTAGTGGCGGTCATGGTGGCCCTAGTCACGCAGAGCGTTCCTCGAGCGGTGTGACCGTTGATGGTTTCCCTGTGTCTGTCTCCGGGAGGTCTTAGTTCTTGCCGCGAGGGGCCATAGTCGCACCTTCCCGCGTCGACGAGTGGTTCCCTCTCCAAAGGGGGTTGTCGCCCGAGTGGTCGGGGTGATGAGCTTCGAGAGATGTCTCAATTCTGTCTCCACAGGGGAGATTGGGGACGTTCGTCCGCTTGTCGAAGGGGAGGAGATTGAGGTCTTTTGTGCCTTCTAGGGGGCCTTCGATCTTCCTCGAGTGCTCTCAGTCTTTCCCCCGGGCAAAGATGAGATAATTGGTTTGGTTGATCGCCGCGAACAGTGCCTTGGTCGTGGCGTCTGCCCCGGCTGGGAGGGGAACCTCGTGGAATTGACGGTTGGGTAGTTCAGTTGAATTGGTCGATCTTCTTCAAGTCGAGGAGGGATTAATGAAGAAGAAGTCGTGGCTCCGTCCCGGTAGTTAGAAGGTCCGGGGATGTTGGCGCCAGGGACCATATTATGACCGGCGGTACCGGTGTTGTCGAGGTCGGCATTATTGTTGGCGGTGTTGTTATTAACGTCGACGACACGGACATTCTGGTTGTCTCGAGTTTGGTCAGCCATGACAGTCGAGGATTGTTAGATTTGGTATTTTGAATGGAGAGAAGACGGGGAAGCTTAGATTCCCACAGACGGCGCCACTGATCTGACCTGACCAGAGTTGGACCGTCACAATTGGCTTCGGGATGGATTTGAAGGAGATTGGGGGTACCTGCAAGACACTCTGATGGCAAAGTGAGAGACGGAATGAGCAAGCAAGTATGAATGTAGGTGTGAATGAATGAATACCTGACCCTCTCATGAGATAGGGTATTTATAGCCTCCAGCGCTAGGCCAAGGTCTCTTTATTGGGCTGATCAAACAGGCCCAACAAAGAGACTGTCAGGTTCTACGTGAGTAGTGGGAATCCGCGCGTGGCCCCATACCTGAATGACGCCCTCCGCAAGACAGGGAGGATAAAGACACAGTCTTTCCGGGACCATGAAGACTCCGTGCAATCCGGAGAGGTTGAAAGTCAGCCCTACGAGGAGGGTGCTCGGAGAGAGCGCGTGCTCGTCGTGGACATTCTTCGCGAGCATCGGCGAGATGCAATTATGGTCGACCAGATACTTATGATCGGGGTGTACTCAGTGAATACACTACCCAACGCAATAGGTTGTCAAGCTTGGATTGAGCCTCACTGATGATTGGGCCAAAGACAGACCCAATCCAGAACACTAATCAAACATCTATTTAAAAGAAAGTTTAAAATTTAAATATAATATATATTTTTTAATCAGATATAATATTTAAATTTTGAAACATCCCTTATATCTATCTCTTATAAATATATACTATATATGAAACAAAATCAAACTATTTTTTGTGTATGGATAAATACAACCTAGTAGATGACACAGAAATGAGTCACGTACAGCTCCCACGTGTTTTTTGTATATGGATGAGGTCAAAAAGGTGTTTAGCTGCTTCAATGAAACTTTTATCTTTTTTTTTTCTCTTTAAAAAACAGGGTTTCATTGGTCACCAAAAACTTAAAAACAATGCTAACAAAAAATTAATTTATATTTGTTGTCAACGTTATTTTCCTCACATACGTATTCTATTATACTTCATATAATTAATTACAAAAATTATGTTCTTTCAAAAAAAAAAAAGATTACAAAAATTATATCTCACGTTCTATTATTTTTCAAGAAAACACACTCAATATTAAAAGTTTCAACACAATACTAGGGATGTCAATAAAACAAAGAATATGCTAAGGATGTTTTTCTTCTTTCTGCTCTGCTTTTCAATATTTTTTTTCCATTTTCAATTTCAATTACAAAAATATTTTTTTTTTCATTTTCATCTTCACAGATCTTCACAAAAAATTAAAAATTTACCGAGATTGAATTTTAATAATACTTTTATATTTTTCGATCAAAACTATGACATTAATATTTTATTTATATAAAAATACACCTTGCATCGATAATAAAAAATGCAAAAACACTTGTAACTACGAAAACATAATGACTAATTTATTAATTGAATTAAAAATATAATATTAGTTGAAGTATATTGAAGTTGAAAAGTAATTATCATAAAAACAATGAATAAATGAGAGTTATTGTTGAGATGATGATGAAAATTGAAGAGATGAGTAATTGAGGAGAAAAAGAGAATTAAAAAAAGAAAAAGAGTGAACGATTTATACATTGTATATAACGCATGCATTCTTTAGAGTTGGGTATTTAGATAGTGAAACAAAATAATCTACTTATAACTCTTTATTTTCTAATATATTAATAATTTTTTATTTTAAAAAATACAAAATTATATAATTATACAAAAATTAAATAATATGATCAGAGTCAGAGAATCCACGAGATAAATGTACTATCTCCGATCTCCATCTCAAAGAACTTTTAATTCTATACGATTAGAAAAATCTCAAACTCCATACAAATCATTCCCACGAAAATCTCATTTAAAATATACAAATTAACATCCCAACACAACACAACTATTAAAATATAATCATGTTTATTTTTAGAGTCACAAATATTGATTGAACAAAAAAAAAAACGATAGATACAATGCGATTCCAAATAATAATTCACATGATAAAATAATTACATATTATCTAATTTATTATATTAAATAATTTATAATTTATAATTTAACTATATTAAATAATTTATTATAAAATTATTAATTTAATTTAATATTTAATATAATTATAATTAATATTTTACACTATCAATATATATTATTTATCTTTAATAAATATATTCATAAATTTAGAGGTGTAATTAAAAACATTTTATTTTATTAATTTCATTGATAAATAGTATGTTTACTAACTTATAGTTAATTATAATACTGTTATTTATATTGGCCATAAACAATAAGGTTAAAGATTTAATAAAGATTATTTTTGTAATAAAAGTTAATATAATTGTAATAATAAACAACTATTTTTTTATTAAATAATACTTAAAATTAATATTTTTAAAATAAAATTTAAAATAAAAATTATTATAATATTAAAATTATAATTTTTAAATTTTATTTTTTACATTGATTTTTGAAAATAAATAGCTCAAAGTTTCGTAGAGTACAATTCATATAATAAACAACTATTTTTCACTAGTTAATTGAATTGTTTTCTTATATTTCTAAATGAAAATAATTATAATTTATTAAAAAAATAATACACCGGACAAATTTAACACACAGAGAATAAAAACTATTTAAAAATAATAATCACAATAAACCAACTCAACTTTAATTTTGTCCGAAATAAGCTCAAAGTTCATTAGTTCTACTAAACACCAACTTTAACATTTCCAATACTAGTACTTCAGTTTCCTTTTGATAAATTATAATTATCATTATTATTACTCTACGAAAATGAAATTAGACTCTAATAAAAACAATAAAAGGAAAATATGTTTTTACTTTAGGATTTAATTATTTAACGTTCATGTCACACCTTTATAGCAACATGTTAAACAGATTAAAAAAAAAATCCCCACCGTACCTTCATCTTTCTCCCTGTTTATAAAAGATCAGAGAAAAATCATGGGTCGGTAAAGGAAATTACTAAAAGAGACAAAAATAATGTGCCCGCAAGCCCTTAATCGCACGATGCAGAAACAAAAAACACGAATCTCAAAGAAATATCCCTCAAACAAAAAAGTTTAGAACTTTCCGGTCTCCGTCGTGAACGTACTCATTTCCGTTCCTACTCTCCAAACACGTCGTCGTCGTCACAGATTCCTCAGAATTCAACGACGGTGTCCCCTGCCGGCGAACCTCTCTCCGGTTGGTCAACGCGTTCTGAAGAAAACACGGCGTCAACCGGAGATTAAGATCAGTCGTCGCAGCTTCACCCGATCGCTTACGTTTTCCACCGGAACTCACAAACCGGAAATTCGAGTTCGGATCTCGGATCTTCCGAGATTCCTTACACGTGACTTCCCCTTCGGATGGGTCGTCTAAACCGAGAAGGTCAGGTATAGGCCCAAGGGTTCCGCCGCGGAGAACGGTTTCAACTGCCGCTTGACAGACGTGCCAGTTTCCTGTCCATAAAAGCCCTACAGCACCGTTAACGGGGTTAACCGTCCGTCCACACGCTTCAAACAACAGAGATTGAAACAAAGCTGCATAATAGTTATAACATAGAAGAAAGAAACTTTAGTTAAACGTGTTTGAGAGAAAGTAAAAAGAAATAAAAGAAAAGATAAATATAATTATTTACCGGGTCTTTGTGGTTGAGGGACGTTTGAAATGAAAGACATAAGGTCAGCACGACCGAAAAACTTGGCTACAAAGACAGTGGCATAGCCTTGTGATTCAGGAGTATCGATCCATTGAATACAAGGGCGTAAGATACAAGACTCACTACAACCCTTTCTAAGGACACGACAACCGTTACAACTCATGCTTATTTTTTGTGGTGTTGTAGTAAAATTATTGTAGTAAACCGGAGTTCCTTCACATGAAGAGAAGAAGGAGTAAGGGAAGGGAATGGAACAAGGGTGCAGGTGGAAATGGGGTATAAATAAAGAGTTAGAAGAGGAGAATGGAGAACGAGAATGAATGAAGTAGGGTTAGGAGTTAACTAAGGTTAGGTTAGTTTAGTGGGTGTGTCTGCGTTCAAAGCTACTTTTTGATTGTGTATAGATGGGTGTCTGTGAGTGAGATTCCAAGGTTTTGGGTGTGAGCGGCTCCGTGTTTCCGCGGATGGATGTTTTTACACCGTTCGATTCTTTATAGTACCTTAGGAATTTCATCGATCACCTTTTTTATGGATATAGTTTGTGTCTATTTTTATTTTATTTTATTGGTTTCCAATCATTTACTAGAGATAATTACATTCTAAATATATTGAAGATTAAGTATAAATATAAATATATTTTCAATTATGAAATATATATAAAATATAAATATAAGTATATTAAGAAATATAATTAAATAAATCATGTAAGATTTTTTATATTATTGTCTTTTATTAATATGAATTAAAAAAATTAAAAAAGAAAAGTAATAAATAAAAATAATAATTAATTTTATATTAAAATTGTAAAATAACTTATTATTTAGTACAATTACTTTTGACGTGACTTATAAATTATAATTAGAGACTAGGAAAATATTATTGATCATATGATATTTCAAATGTGTCTAATTTAATTTTCTTAAATAAATAATTATTAATTTGTCAATTTTAAATTATAAAAAAAATACTTTTTTAAATATATTTATAAATGATTTTAAGAATTAATGAAAAAATGCTATTATAAAGTATTTAATTAAATATAACAACAAAAATAAAATTTTATTTTATTAAGTGATATCGGTTATATGGATGATCGACTTTTGTCGATGTTAGACTCCTTTGAAATAATAGGTGGGACTTCTTTATTGAATCTTTGGCGAACACATAATAGTTTTCCCAAAACTTGTTAGGAAGTGTTGAATGTGAAGTCTTTTAGAATATATGTAGGCCTTACACCGTCGAAATGATTATTAATAGAGATTGACCTTTTCCACAATTGTGGAATGAGGGATAGGCGCTTTAAATGTCTTTCTCACTACTGGGACACTTCACGTGAATTTTCAATATGTGGCCCTAAGCTAGCGGGTTAGGGCATGATGCCTCCTCATAGGATGTTTGAGTTCACTTGAGTGTTGTGGTATTTTTGAGACGCAGTTTGACTTTTACATTTCTTCTTCCCATTTCCTTTTCATCTTGATTATTGCTTTTCTGGTTCGACGTTTCTTATATAAGGACTACTTAACTCCAGAATTTTTGTTTCATTACTCATTAAAGCACACTTAGATCCTAAAAAACCATCTTTTTCTTTCAAGCAAGCCCTAAACACGGTGCCCTCTCTATTTATTGAGTTGTGTATTCTTAGTATTACTCAACCATTCGTTTTCCTCTACTTGCCCCGCCTTTTGATTCACCTTTGTTTTCAAGTACCACTTTCAACCCCTGGCTCGGACATAATAGTTTCTATTCATTTATCTTTGAAATGAATATAAATGATCAACCTGCTAATTTAGAAAGTGTCTCTGTCGATAGTGATATTTCTTCATCTGTGTTTGTAGAAATCCTAAATGACTCGAATACTACTTATCAGGTGTGTATTCGCCTTGATTCAAGTCTAGTGATTATATCTTCTACTTTTGAGTTTGATGGTATTTCTAGTAAATCCATTTTTGGGGAAGATTTTTCTGAGGAGTCTTCTAGTTTTTTCATTGAGGAGAGCGTTGGGAAATCTGTTGGTGATGATCAGTGTGGTGTTGTTGTTCTTGTTTATCAGGGGGTCTCTGGTAACCCCTCCCCTCAATTAGCCCTTTGCCTTCCGAGGAGGTTACTAGGGATGGAAAAAGGGTGCGTCCCGTCAAGCATACCTACTTTGCCCCCACTTTTTCACGGGAGACATGCCAAGGTTTTAGGCACACACTCTCTAATGTGCATGAATTGGTATCATTGGATGAACTACATATTGTTAAGGATTGAATTTATTTTTGATAGTCTAACCAATATGGAGAATTCTCTTGTAGAAGTAGGGTATCCCTTTGACAGGGAAATCATTTTGTTATACTCTAATGAGAGAATTTGTAACCATTTGACACGTGTTTCATCCGTTTCTAATAATGTCTGTTAACTCAACTAAATTTTTGAATAACTTTTAACGATTTTGAAGTAGAGGCGCTGAAATATTTGAAGGATGCCCCCCTCCAAGTGCATCATAATGCTTGGGCTTTTACAAAGTTATTCTAGTTTTTGTGTGAATATTAGAGTTTGAAGCCCCACTTAAACAATTTCTTTCATCTTTTAATCATTGAGCGTACCTCCATAGATAAGCTTTGAATTTATGGGTCAGTTTTGTTAGAGTAAAAGGTCAAATAGTTTTTAGTAATTATTCTGCAAATTAGATGGATTTCAAAGATTATTTCTTATTGATGCACCCTCGGACCCCGTTCGTGAAGCTTGTCTTATGTCAAACCTTTTCAAATAAGTCTATAATGCATGATTTGTGTCAGGAGGGAAGACTTAGTTGCGGAGGTCTAATTTGGAAAAGTTGGGTCTGATTCCACATAAATCGGTGATCTAATACCTACATTATTCCTTTGGATTCCTTGAAACTGAAGGAAATACTAAGGACAAAAAACACGGTGGCCTTCTAGAAGGACCTATGCTACAAGAAATGAGTGGGGCCTTTAGTTGCAGGTCCTTTAATGTAGAAGAAATGATTCGTTGACACCCATGTTATAATAGGTGCCATTGATACCAATGAGAAGAGGGAAATTTTTGGTGATAAGAGAAAATTGGCGTCTTTTTTTCTTTTGTAATTCTTTAATTAATTTACAATGAAACTTTTGATTTTCCATTTGCAATTACAATGGTTTTGAGAGTTATGAATGCAGTGAAAAACCTTTTTAACAAGTAGAAAGCTCGGCAGAAAGTCGGGGTAACCACTTCCTCTCCTTCTGCTTCTTCTAATACTACTCTCGTGGAGGAACTATCAGAGAAAACTTTGGGTGACGTTAGGGGTTCATCTGCGACTCAATCTTCCCTGATTCTTTTTTCGCTTCTATAGAAAAAAATACTTTTTATGAAAAATATTTTACCTAACATAACGTAAAATCGATGTATATATTTTGTACGCGCCATATTTTTTTTCTTAAAAAATATATATTATATTTCGTCTATTTTTTTTTAAATCGAAGGGTTAACTATGTAAGTCTTCTCTGTTCAAATCCCAACAGTCATTAAAAGTAGCGCCTTATGGAATATTTTATTTTTAATCTAAAAATAAGCCATTTTTCACCTTGGTTTTGTTTCCCAACCGAGGTGAAATTGTTTCCCTGATATATAAAGATTAAGGTTGTAGCATTCAGTTTAACTTGTCCAAACCCTAACGAAGAGTCCTGAACAATAGATCCACAAACAACTAGTTCCATAATCACATATCATCTTCAATAAGAAGATGATATGTGTTTAGGGCTCTCGTTTATTTTTCAAAGATCCAAAACATTTTATTTCACTTCTTCTTCTTCAGAGATCTAATTTTGTTGAGAGATTGTTTTTTTAGTCTTTTTTTAATGTAAGTGTTTTTTTGAGTTGTTTATTATATTATTGTTGTTGTTTAGATTTTCTACTATATGTTGTTGTTATTAAGTCTGAGTATTGATATTGATGTTTTTTGTTGTTGTTCAGATTATATTTTTGTACAGATCCCCTCTTGTTTTGTATAGTTGAGTTTATTATATATAATGTGTATTGTTTTTTTTCACTAACCCCTATTTGAACATATAACCGATTAAATTGATTTTTGAAATAATCATATGAAAAACTATGTGGTATTTGAAACATATCTTACATTGATTAACATTTTTCTAAAATTTCGCAACTCATCATTAATCTCATACTTTTTATTGTTAAAATCTCTCAAATACTTCTAGTTTTTCATTCAAGTTTCTTCCATAAAGAACTTGAAACATTGAAGAGATTTTAATCATAAAAGAACATGAAGTGAATGATGACTTAGAGGATGCTAGAAAATCATTGATTAGTGTAAGTTATTTATATAACACAATTATTTCATATGATTATTTTCCTAACCAATTTTGAGAAGTTATATATTTAGGTAGGGTGAAATAAGCAATCTACATTAGATATAATAAACTCAATCTTATTTAATTTGTAGGTTAAATGACAAATATGAGGGGAAAAGTGGTAAACTAAATAATGTATTCCTTCAGTTTTAATAATAACCGAAGGGTAAATTCCTTTATTATTTTATTTTTTAATTAACAAGAAAATAACCTTTCCCCTCTATTTTAGTCAGAAAACGAGGGTTATACATTAACCACTTCATTCATGAAGTAACCTAGAACCTATGTATGTCATACATTCATAAATTAGCAATGCTCAAGATACTTCCAACACATTAATCCATAAGAAACCTATACACCAATAAGAATGCAAACACCATCACTCGGTATATTTGATGTTTTCTTGTGAAACCTTCTACCTCCAATAAGAATGCAAAGACCATTACAACTTTCCATTAAAGGAGCAATGAGTATGCAACCTTTGTCTCTGGGATGGATGGAAATTGCAGAAAAAATTGGATTCAGGTTGGTCATCTTACGTAATATCTTATCTTTTAATTGGAACATGATTTTATGTTATGTGTTCTTGTGTAAAAATATTAAATGAGTATCTCCCAGATAGGTATAGGAAAAGCCTCTATGGGTAGATTTATGTAGATTATTTGGGGATTTGGGAGCTACGACAATAATGTATATTATCCCAAGATAAAGTCTTGCTTATCCCTCTTGCGGAAGCCCTTATATATAGTCTTCTTTTAGCGCCATTAAGAGCCCCATCAAAGGGTGACTCTTGGGCTTCATAATTGTATAA